TTTTTTCTCAGTGTATCTGTGTATGTGGATAACTTCAAACGTTAAAATAAACATTTTTTAAACATTAAAAAATATTTCTTCAGACGTTAAAATAAATGTTTTCAAACGTTAAAAAATATTTTTCAAACGTTAAATAAATGTTTTTAAACGTTAAAAAATATTTCTTCAAACGTTAAAATAAACGTTTTTTAATGAAAAAAAGAGCACTTAACCCATTATTTAAATGTTTTTAAAAATGTTTTTTAAATATTTTTTTAATATTTTTAAAAATATTTTTTCAAACATTGTGTGCTGATTGGGTCTCCGCGTGAGATAAGTGGCTTCCGCGCGTCCCGTGCGCGTCTCTAGCCAAGACAAAAGAAGACTAACACACGTTAAATATATTACGAAAATTGAATTAATATGCATAGATTCACTTTCAAATACTTACATATATATATTGACAATTTCTACCATTTGAATCTCGACGGTTAGTCATGTGCTGGCTTGTTTCATATATTTTATATTTGAATATAATTACATCTTGAATGAATTTGGTTTCCAAACGTTATAAGTTATAGAATTTAATAAGTGCTAATTGTAAGGAGAAAAATACAAGCAAGGCGTAATGATAACTATTGTAATAAGTGAATTAAACGTACAAAATATTTCAGCACTGTCATTTATTTTAATGAATTAACGAATAACTACGGGTACATGAAAAACATATTTTTCGTAATCACAGAAATAATGTTTTATATAATAAACAGAGTCTACAAAAATTTCGTATTATTTAAAATTAACTAATTAATATCACGTTGGAATACTACAGTACGCTTGGTTGCACATGCGCAGTAGATCTTCCCATTGTCTCGGGATAGCGTCCTCGCGCCGAGGCGAAAATATGAAGGGCGATTACGCAGGGCAGGCAGTCGAAAAAGATCTCTCATCTAGTTAATACATGTCGGCAGTCGAAAAAGAGCTCGCGACCAGTTAAGATGTGTAGTAGTGTAGTCGAAAAAGGATCTTGACCTGTGCGGACGTTTAAGCAGTTGAAAGGAAGCAGCCTATTCACTTTCCAAGTCATCTCAATCGTGAAGCAGTTTCTATTTCCAGTTCGTCTCTGAATCTCACACTGCTCCACCGAAATTCATTCACGCTGCATCGAGGCTGTCCATTTCATTAATCTCACTGAATCTGCTTGATCGCCCTGCAAGGTAACAATTAATTATATTTACTTATATTCAGACTCCGATTATTAGAATTATAACAAGTGTAATTTACTTCTACATCCTACGTTATATCCTACTTTGTATTCGTATATCTATATCTGCGACTATTCATTTAATTATAGTATTACATATAAAGACAATCAACTACCAAATACATATTTGCATATTAAATTCATTTTGCATATTAGATATTAAATTTTACTAACCATACTATATCCGTTTACGCAATTTATTTTTATATCGTTCCTATTACAAATCTCATTTCACCTTTTTTTTAATTCGTGATTCTTAATCCATGTAACGTTATTCTGTTTTATGATTTTTTAATTGTAATTGCCTAACATTATCGTAGTGTATGAACTCGTTCCCATTTCTACACGAATTTATATAATTATATTGTCATATCACCCTGTCGCACATATTATTAAATACACCTTAACAATATATTCAAAATATAATTTGTGTCCATCTTCACTACCATTAACGTTTTTAGTACCATTATCAATAAATATTATACTTTAATATACCTCACATTTTTCTTCTAATTAATGTCTTATTATACATAACATCTCTGTTTATTATAAATGACAAATATCATATTTCATAATACTTTTCAATATTCGTTACTATGCATGCTATGGAATCTAATTTTTATCTGAGCAATATCACATTATACCGTACATCAAATCGTAAATCATTATATCGCATTGAGTAATAATCCCTTAGCCAACGCTGTGTATTACATTATCGATTTATCTTCAAAGAGCACAATCATTATTAATTAATTTTGACATATTAATTCCGACTCTATATAACTGCCTATTATATTAATTAAATTGCATAATAAATACCTAGATTTTTATTTACGCGCTGCTCAATATTCTGAGATATTGTCCGTCCGAAGGACACCTGCATCGTGCCCCCTGAGGGTAACGTGATTTCCGGCCACAGGTGTTGCACTCTTCTGGAATATCAGATAGAAATAATTAGTCTCCCAACAACACTCAATAATGCATGCATAATCCTAATACTGCATGTGCTATTTGCTGCGCTTACATTACACGAAATATTCACTAAAGCAAACATGTTCTTCCTAATCAACAGATATCTCAAGTACCTTACATTCAAGCTATGGCAAGTCGGAATTTAATCCTCTTAGCCTGTGGCCCCGGTGGCACTCCAAAGTTAAAGCTATTCTTCGATTAACCCATCTTTGGACTCCTTTCGGCTTGCTGTTGTATATCTTTCTTCGGTAAACACAAGGAGACCGGCACGATTTTGTGCGACGAGTGCTGCGAATATTTACCGGCCCGGGAGCGGGAGTTATTCGTCGACGTATCTCGGCATGATCTTTCCGTCGGGCTTAATCTGGATTACGAACGTTGCGGGAGCTGCGACGTGATAATCCCAAGACTCACTCCCGCCCTGAATTGCAGCATTTGTGCACTTGTTTTTCGCGATTACGTCGCCGACCGACATAAAGCTGAAGAATATCCCCACGAACTTTACAAAAATATCAAAATCTGTGTTAAAGAAGTTCATCACGTGCAAATAGGTGAACTTTAAGTCGCTACGTTTGTCCACGATCAACAATAAATAAATTAAACAAATAAAACCTAATCGACTCATTTTACTAGCTGGTAACTTTCCCCAGTAATCTTCTCTAGCAACTTATGCCACGATTCCCCTAGCGCGGGACGTGACACTAAAATGATATCTAGATGCATCAAGACTAAGATTTTAAATACAGCCTTATTTTCTCTGTTGAACGCAGCCAATGGCATGAACCAATTATAGTGAAGAATCACAAAGCTCTCACTGTGTGGCTTTCTGAACGCCTTCTCAATACTGCTAATAGCGTGTTTTCTGAATGCGCGGCAATGCGCCTTCCCAAAGTGCTTATTAACGTCTTTTAACTGCCATCGACTTGTGTTTGTGAAAAAACATTCAAAATGTTTTCTCTTGTTGAAATTCAAAATAATAAAGAAGAAGAAAAAGTTATAAAATTAGTTAAAACTTATGACATAAAAAATAAACATACTAAAAGATGTTACATTAAACTAACAAAGGAACCCGAAAATTCAGAAAAATCTGTAACTTTGTGCAAAAGTAGAGCAGTTCATCCATAGTACGAAACTATTTTTCGTTGGTGCTCTATTCCGTTTTGAAGGGATGAAATCACCCCTTGAAAAAAATCGGTTTTTTTCTTCCGACGTGAATATCGTCGAAACTATGAGTGATAGAAAAAAATATTCTAGATCAAAGTTGAATGGCTTGAAGTGTACTTTATTATAGTAATAAAAAAAATTTTATTCAAAATTTTTTTTAATGTTTCCCTCACCACTTTATTTTTTTTAATTTTTAAATTTTTTTATAACCAAATTAAAGGTTATTTTAATACGAATTCAACCATTTGTGGTTGTTATTTTTCAAAAAAGTTATTTTTCAAAATATCATTTTTGAGAAATAATTACAAACGCCTCTATACGCACACCATCTGTACTCGTTTACGCTGCGCGCACGCAGCAATTCTTCATGCAGCACGTTCTGATCGCATTTTTGCATTTAACAAGGGATAACGATTATTTTCGCAATATTCTACGGATGTATAACTATGAATCGTTTTTATCGCGCACGGCTAAACACAAAGTAAAATTTGAATATCGTAGAATGTCAAATTTATCTTATCAGACAATATTTGCAAAGCATTTGAATACGCATTTGAATATGAATTAGTTTCAAGACTGAAATAGTGAAAGACGCATACAGGCAGTTAATTATTCCTATTTTTATTGTAGTATAATATAAGTAGGAATACATGTTGTGCAATATTCATTGATAAATTAAAATTTGTGCAATATGGAAGTTTTTTGCAGGTTTTATGTATATAAAATGAGAATGCAGAAAGGAATAAAGGTAAAAAATGGAAAAAAGAATAAATAAATCTTTACTATTCACATTATCTAATTATACGATACATAATAATATGAAGAGAATACATCTTTACAACTTATAGTACAAATAAATAGTAAAACAACAAAATTGTGTTAATATTGTTTTTTATTTATATTATTGTCTTTTAGAGTAACTATAAATATAATAACAGTACGTAATATAATAACGTAATTTTAATAAAATTACAAATAATGTAAATATAATGTCGCGTCCGCGTTTTAATGTTTTGCCGCGAGAGACGCGGGGCTGGGATCGTGAGGTTTGAAGGAGGCATGTAAGTGGTTGGAGGGAGGATTATATTTTATCGAGGGAAGTACGATCAGAGAGTAGGCTAGTCTTGGGGGCCGAGCGGAAACCCATTTAGACTGCCTTGTGGCGTAGTTTTTTTTTCTTGATTTTGTCAAGGAATAGGAAACTTCGTGGTGAAACAAATCTGACTCGAAAACTGATAAAGAGGGAGAAAACTCTAATAGATGCGCCTTTCGTTCATCATTTCGTACTTTTTGGGGAGGGGGAAACAGGATTTATTAATGATTATTCGAAAATATCAACGAAATCTCTTTATTATTAATTTCATGTTGAAGTTGCATTGCACGTTTTCCCTTATTGTTGCCTCGACCTTGCCGACTGACTGGGACTCGCGGCGCGGGGGTGCCTGTTTTGACACCGTCGTGGGGACCGGCCGAGTTCCCTTTCGTACAAAGGGGCCATCCGACTCCTCCTCACGCGGAGGCGTTGATTGTTTGACGCGCGGAGGGG